AATGGGAAAATGTCCCATTCGGTCAAATACAATTGCAACAATTCCAAAGAAAGAACAATTGATATAGAACACACCAATAAAAATGTTGGAAATAAAAATAAAAGTAGCAAGGAAACCCTTGATAAGAAAAGTTGCTTCTACGACAACGAAGATTTCGAAAACCAAGAGAGTTCTGATAATGCATCCTGTAGAAATAAAGAAGTATTGAGCACAGAAATCGATGAAAATATTTCCACCGTCGAGAAGAACAAAAATAGTACTAAAAAAGACCCGATTTATGAAAATCATTCCATTATCCAGGAAATGAGCAAAATTGAATACACTGATGATCTATTGCAGGTAAGCAATACACCTGATGATTTAAACGAATTTCTTTTACATTTTAATAGAACAGAAAATAGAATAGCTGAGCAATTCTCAGTCCGTTGTCCGCAACTATCTTGACATACAGGAAAGTGAACAAAAGATTTTGAATGAGGAAGGACATGAAATTTCAATCCTAAATGTGTTTCAACATTTACACAAATACTTAGAGCTATATAACCAAAAAGGACCTACAAAAATAACCAAATCCATCTAAGGTCAACTTTGCCTAAGGGGGTTGCTAATATAATTTCTAAATTTGTAAAACAGACAATTTAAGAAAGGTGTTTTAAATTATGTCAATACCCAAGTACTGACTACTGAACTAATGATACCCTTGGGGACGGATAGTCCACCAGCAGCGGTATCGATATATCTTGTTAATGTTTAATGGGTGATGCATGCATACATAAAGTTGATTATATCATGCAACTATCAAATTGTCATTTTACTTTCATAATTTTACAAAACTGAATCCATCTTTTGTAGTTTTTGTTGAAAAATTACTAAGTTCCCAAGTTCGCAAAAATGAGGATAAAATTCTTCAAACAATTCCATAACAGCAGGTCACAATTTCAACATTCTTACAATCTTTCTGCATGTGAAGTTTCAGGGATCTGGGTTGAAACTGAAGTAGAGAGGCGGAAGATACCAAAGGGATATTCAAATTCATAAGTCAAAGACAATTAAACTGACAACGCCATGGCAGAAAACGAAAAACGACAAAAAGACAAACAACTGTCTACAAAACACAACATTATAACATAAGACCAAGGGGTTGATTACACAAATAAGATATATACGTTCCGCTATCTGCCAGCCAGACATCACCATATTATTTTAAGCCTTTTAATATTTTTTTTATTCGAGCGTCACTGACAAGTCTTTTGGGACGAAACGCGCAACTGGCGTACAACATTTTAAGTCTGGTATCCATGATGAGTTTATCTACATTACAACAACTTAGTCGATCCCACTGCTGGTGGAAGATTCCTCGAGGGTATCAACCCGAGGGTATCACCAGCACAGTAGTCAGGCATTATTATAAATTAACTGTTTACAAAATTTTGAATGTTTCGAAAAACTAAGAATTTTCTACCAAAGGAATAAATAACCGTAGTTGTATTTAGCAAACCTTTCGGCATTTTGGGTCCTCAATGCTCTCGGTAACTTCGTACTTTATTTGGTCTTTTTAACATTTTTGATTCGAGCGTCACTAGTGTGTCTTTTGTAGACGAATCGCGCGTCTGACGTACAAAATGTTATGCCTGAATTTAATTACAACCCGAAAGGTTGATAGCATATCAACGGAACAAATAACACAAATGCATAAACTCGTGAAATAAACAGCATCAGCTAGTCAAAATCAAATGTTGTATATTAGTGCTTTACATGGCAACATAGCTGTCAATCAAACTTTTATAAGGGGAGAAGAAACCAAGGGGGTAATTATAAACAAGTCGAAGAAAAAAAACGATACCATGACAAACAGATATACGACGGAAAGACAAACAACAGTCATGAAAACACTATACAAAGGAAGAACAAATTGATCAAGACGAACCCCTACTAATTATTGAGATGAATTCAGGTTCTTCGGATTGATAAGCACCGTATGCTCCACTAATACCACCCGTCGTGTTCATGGCATCTTAAATTCAGGTGACGAGACGCATTATAGATGATGTCACGATCATGGAAAACATGACGAGATTATCATCGATTATGACTACGACACTGAACATTTTCGTCGTCATCTGTGACATAGATATTCCATAACAAATGATGATGGCGTCCTTAAAATGAACACGAACTCTTTATCAATATAAGACAATGTGCAGCACCGCACATCTGCTTTTCAGTCATAACTATTTTAGAGAGTTTAATAATCCTTGTTTGAGTCAATTTTCCTGGATTGGCCCACCGGTTGACGGCCAATATAGAAAAAAAACAGCTCAGGCGGAACTCCTAATCCCAAAATGGACCAAAAAAGGAATGTTGCAATTAACAAACATCCCAGCACAGATTTAAATGAAACTTTTTTAATTTTTTTAATACATGAACCTCGTTATAGGAAGATATTTGTGTTTGTTTATTCCACATTGGCTAGAGGTATAGGGGAGGGTTGAGATTTCGCAAAACATGTTTAACCCTGCCGCATTTATGCACCTGTCCAAAGTCTCAGGAACCTCTAGCCGGCTTTGTTAGTATTGTGTGTCTTTTAATTTTTCATAATGTTTCGGAGTTTAGTGTGGCGTCCATTTCGCTGAACTAGTATACATCATTGTTAAGGGGATCCGCTGAAGCCCGCCCCCGGGTGCTGGATTTTATCGCGTTGAAGATCCATTGGTGGCCCTGGATAGTTTTCTGCTGTTTGGTCGATTTGATGTCTCTTTGACACATTCCCCGTTTCCATTATTAATTCTATATAATGTAAAAAAAAAAAGAACACTCACATACTGGCGTGACAAAATGTTCTAGAAAAACTAATGGCATCAAGATTCTAGATGTTCTTTTACTGACAGCACAGTTTATGTGCATGTATACGTTCGCATGCATGACATGGTTTTCCACAAACAGTAAGTAATACTATGGAAAACTGGAATAAAGAGTAAGAGCAAAGATTGGTCGGTAAGAATTCAGAATAATGTGCCAGGGTATGGTCATGTATTCCTTCGGAATGTTAACCTTGTGAACTAGTACGTTGAAAATCAGACTCAGCATGTCGATCCAAAACAAAGCACTGTTTATATTCAGATCACCTTAACACGTTCTAGTCCTTATAATGCATTTATCTTGCGAGTTGACTTTAAACAGCCATGTATCGGTCAGTTCTGACACGGGAATAAGTTTTTTAATTATGTTGAATAAAGACAAATGTAAATTTTGTCTGTTTTTGAATTTTTGCATTGAGTCAATTTAAAGATAAAATCAGTTAAAACCTCTAGCGATATGTACCTCTTTTTTCATAGATTTTGTTTGTTATCTTTCAAGAAATTTTTTGTTTATTTATTTGTATTTCTCTAAATCATTTAGTTATTGTCATATTGATGCTCCGTATTGTTTCTCTTTACCTATTTATTCTTAGTCAGAAAAGGGAGACTACTCTATCACACTTGCAGAGTTAAAGACGTACATTACCGGTTATATGTTCAAAAAGATTTTTGGGGATTGAAATTTCTTAATTTCATATGTTTTTATCAAGGTTTGAGTGAAATGTAACAGATGTTCAAGAACTAAAAACATCCACTACTCGCATAAAATAGTAGGCTTCCCTAGAGTATAACCTGGGACTAATACATGCATATTAGTCCTAATTCTAACCCACGAATCAACAAACAATCAGAATACCAGATAATGGAAATACATACATACTGTATAATTTTTTAAAAACTTTATCTTTAGTGGCTGTACCTTAATTGATATATAAAATTCATATATGTACCCTTTTAAATTTGGAATAACAAAACAAATCATTATGAGATATTTCTTTGAAGATTTAGGCTACTGTGTGCTATTATGGAAGTTCTTTTTTTTCACTTAAGTATTTCTGCTGTAAAAAGATAAGACCCAATTCAGTGGTCTGTCAAATTGTTAAAATAATATTAACAACAGTTACTGTCAAAATCTAAAAGACGTAAATTCGGCATGTCCAGTCTGATTTGGTGGGAAAAGGGACATCTATCTTAACAGCAGGCATGTAATATTTTTGGGAGGTTAAATTTTTTTGTGTGGTCTTACGTGCTGTCATATATTTCCTTTGCACTTTTGAGAAAAAATTAATAACACAATATGATAATTGTTTGGTGCTTTAAAAATGTATTGACCAGGTGTGTGCGTGTGTTTGTTTGGGAAAATTTTAGATTTTATGGGACCAACAGTTTAATTTTCTGTGATTTGTATCGGCGAACGAGTTATAGGCTGCACCTTCTAATTGTTGGTACCACATAGGTCCCAGTTTAATCAGAGACATATACATGTGTATATATGTATCTGGTTTAATGTAACCGCGGCAAATTGGTCCAAAATGTAACATAAAATAGAAGCGAACACTCAATCGAACAAGAAATTTCATCCCAACCCGAGACATATAATATCTGAGATCAAAGTTAATATGTATTATACATCTGTGTTCGAACTTGAGACTACATAACACCTGAGACTACTATAACACATAATGTGTTGTAGTACTAAACCTACACATGTATGGGACTATTACCCTAACATACTAGCACAGGTACATGAAAAATGCTGGTGATATTTATGTTTGTGAAATCCTCAAAAGAAATAATAAACAAAACAACCTTTTCCGAAGAAAAAGACACCAACAGGTCGTCCTAATCCTTTTGTTAAGTCACTTTTTCTCACGGGTTGATTGGGGGAGATTACACCTTTTTAAATGGTAAAATTCTTTTTAATATAACTAATTAGACATCAAAGACGTTATACACTACTAAAACTCAAACGGATTAAAAATTTCACATTTCTTGTAACTTATAATCGGTTTTGCTTAATTAGTAATTAAGAACTGCAATCAAAGTGTAATCAAATGAAATCCGATAGTTCCCAACAGCTGGAGAACTCATCCTAATGTGACGTGCACCTTGTGGGCGGAGTCAATATTCATGAGCGTTTAAAATTATCAAAATCTTTTCCACTGTCAACGGACAACCATTGAAGACGAGGATATTTTATTCACGAAGGATTTTAATATTTAATTTGGAATTAATTATCAATTTTAATTAGTGAATTGCATTGTTTAAAATAACTTTTAGTTAGGAGTTTTCAAGTGTAAAAGGGGTGGGCTTGCTATTTGTGAATATAAGCGGCGTCCACATGTTGGACAAAACATTTGTTTGTGTTTAAAAATGTGAGTGCTATTTGACAACATCTTCCAAGAAAAGAGAAACTCAGGATGGCTGCTTGTGGTGGTCATTCCCCAAGTTTAAGTCCATCTTTCATGGTAGATGAAAAGGGATGTTACAATTCTGTAAGTAAAGTATTTTTTATGTTCATTGTACAGCAAAGTTTAAAAAAAAACAACAACGGGCACCTGCAACGATCTTTTATTCCTGAAATTACCATAATAGAAATTAGTTCATTATGTTGTGTAGATCTGATGAATTAAATTATTTACCTTTATTTTTCATAAAAATCCTTCGAACCCTTTTTCATAAGATTTAAATTTTAAACGGTTGTACACAAGTCAACAACTCATAAAACATGTAAAACCAACCATAGGAAAAAATATCCTTTTTTTTTATACTGACACTTAAAAGGATTCCACTTAAATGATTTATTAAGAGTTAAGGCATATTGACTCATTAAGGGAACTTTTCCCTAATCCAAATTGTTCAGCAATCATATATTTTTTTAATTTTGACTTTTCAATTAATGAGTTCATACATGTGTACACATACAAGATGCATATATTCATATTACAATATATTAATAGTTTCTGCTTTTTCATTGATATCTCAAAGAACATTATTTATATATTTTTAATTAGTTAATTAACTAACAAATGCAATTTTGAAATTCTGTCAAACTTCATTGATAACGTCGTGTGAGTTGAGATACCTTCAACGGCTTATATGAGTGTTTCACCGAAAAGCTAAAATGTAAGATTTAATATAATTTTGAAAACTTATCATAAAGTTGCCCAACTCTCTACTTTTCATATGTATTAAAACTATTAGCAGATAAATGAACAATATAGCTTTTCATACCAATTTTATGTTTTTAGCAAAGTTTTCTTTATCATATCATATTAAATATAATTGTAAGACTTACAACTCCTACACGTGCATTATTTGTCTATAGTTCTGCAATATCTACATACAGTTTTTGTACATGAAAGTATAAGTACATATTGGAGTTTTTTTCAACAGGATCAGGACCATTAATTCTATAGAATTTTATAACCACCCTGGATATTCCTGTAAATTTGCAGCCAAAACGTTGTTAGATATAAAGCAAGAACATGTACATATTGTGTTTCTATACAGAATCTTGTTTGATGTACTGCATATTATTGCAAGATTCAAGCAATGCAGTTGTTGTAATTTAATAGAAAGTCTGTTATATCGAGCGGATCTAGTAACAGCCCCACTTCACTCTTCTGTCCCTTCATCCATCCTGTTTGCAGATACACCATGTAGCTTGAAATTGTTCAACATTCATTGTACAAGGAAAACTTTCATTAAACTTTTCTTGTTGTCTATGGACGGGAAGGACTTTATATTTGGTATGCAGCATGATAATGTCCAGTTCTAGTGTGTAAGCAATTTTTACATTAGCTGTTACATGCGCAGCAGCATTGCAGCCACCAGTCCTGCTTGCTGATAGTTAAAAATTTTACAACACTCATTGTACAAGGAAAACTTTTGTCATATTTTTTGGTTTCTTTTTAAGGGAATACTTAATAATTTTAAGTTGTAGCAAATAAGCAATTTCTACTTGATTATCAATGAATAGGGTCAGATAGGTTTTAGGTAATAATTTTTAATTACAAACATGTTAAAACAATTCAGCACAGCAACAGTACATGTGTTAAGGAATTTCCAAATATAAAAGATTTTCACTCTACTTTTTTTTGTATTTACAGGGTCCCCCTTTAGCACATCGAATAAAAGCTGGGAGGCCTTGTTCTAACTGTCCAAATGTATGTCCTGGGTTTGAGCTGCATTATTGGAGGTAAGTCAGTTGTATTTTAGGCCAAGACTTTTATAGTTATTGCTTTGACTACTGTTGAGCTCCCCTGTGAAGATGTTCTATAACAGGTTTTTAGTTCTTGAACTTTGTAGAACTTTTCTAGAGCATCAATTGCAAAAACTGTTTTGAATAACTTAGAAAGTTCTTGACATTAGTTCTAGAACACAATTTGTTCTTGATTTCAGGTTCTAGAACGTCAATGTTAATGTTAACATTGTACATAAGGATGGAACTTTTTAGTTTTTTCATATTTATTGAAGTCATTTTGATGGGGAAGGGTTACAGCGTTGTAATAATTTCTTGTGAAGGCAGATTTCAGAGAAATGAGTCTCATGCATGACAAGTGGAATTCATAAAAACACAATGCATTATTAATTGAACATGCAATAAAGTGTAAGAATATGCCACTGTCTCAAACAGCATAGATTTGAAATGCACTTGAATGTAGAACTACAGGTATGTTAATTAATAGATTGCAGTTATAAGCTTAAGGTGCAAATTTATTAGATACATGTATGGTGTTTAATCAGTACAGTTTGTTAGTTTAGTTGTGGTTTTAACAGTTTATTCATTCATGTTATCAATGCTTTCTGACATTTAAATTTGGGTACAAATTTCATTGTCAAAAATCATTGTCAGATTTTTTTCTGAATAAACAATTCATTTAAGATAATATTCAAGGGTCTAGTTTCCAGTTCATAAAGTTTACTAAAGCCACAATGTAAATCAAATATTTTTTCTTTAAATTTGGGAAATGTTTAGTTAAATGTAACTAACTAAACATTTGTCCTTTTAGAATACAATATACAATAAGAAATGTTCAAGAATGGACCAGTTCTACTATTATATATTTCTAGAACAAAAGGAAGAAATTCACCAGATTGTGTGACCTCACTTCATTTTGCCATGAAAATAACTATTCAGTTTGACCACATTCATGTAGACATTTTCCATCAATTAATGCAACCGATTTCTTAAATGTTTAGTGATCAGCATTTTTTATACATTTAATTAAGCTACTTATGCAAAATAGTTGATAAAATGTTTAAATAGAGATTCACAAATATGATGAGCCTTTGCTCCATGTTGAAGGGATTATTATCTTTAAAGACAAAGAACAGCAATGAAAGGTCTGTTTCTTTGCCAGTTGTTTTTTTAAGTGTATACAAATTTGTATTTAAATGTGGCATTACATTTAGTATTTTGGTGGAAACGGGGTACCCCTCATGAGTGTAACGAATACTTTTTTTTTTATAAAATGTGAAACATTTTTCTCTGGGCAGTTTAACTAAAAAAATGGATTGACAAATTATGATAAGAACTTTATACAAAAATAAGAAGATGTGTTATGATTGCCAATGAGACAACTCCCCACAAGAGAACAAATGACACAAAAATTAACAACTATACATTATGTAGGTCACCGTACAGCTTCAACAATGAGTAAAACCCATACCGCATAGTCAGCTATAAAAGACCCTGAACTGACAAATTTGAAACAATTCAAACGAGAAAACTAACTATGCACATTTGATGCTACGAAGATCTCTTTCTTATATATATATCATTTCACTTCCTGTCCTTACACAAAAATCAAATCAAACATGCTCTGAAATGTCTGGAGTCGTTTAAAAACAAGACTTACGACTAAGATTGATCGTAAGTCATGAATAATTCAATATACTTACAATCAATCTTAGTCGTTTGGTTTTTTTGTGAAACCGACTCCTGATGCCTAACTGTAAGTTATATACAATACTGTAAAAAAAAAAAATAAAACCTGAATTTGAAATTCATAATTTGATTTAGAAAATTGAATCTCCATGTTTGACATGTCAACATGTATGTTTTAAGACCAATGCATACATGTAGATTTTTGATTTGTTTACATTTAAAGTATTGAATCAATGAATATCTCCAAACTACAGGGGTTCAGGGAAATTGTCATATATTTGTTTAATTTATTCAAGTAATGTCTCTTTCTTTGGCAGGATTCCATCTGTGTAAAATCAACAAATTTTGACTGAAGATTTATTAATATACCTGTTAATGTGTTGGCTTTTTCGCAGTCAATTTTTTTTAAATTCAAAAAGGTTTTAAACCCTGATCAATAGTTTTATTACACCCAACTATTTTCAGGGTAAATTAATACTTTGTAAGTGCAGTTTTGATAGCAAGGTTTTCAAGGTTTTTGAATTTGATCAATACATTTATATGGTTCTCTGATTGAAATTTATGTAACTTTTAAAAAACCGTATGTAATATCTTTTAAAAAAACCCTATGTAATGGTTATAATATTTCCTGATGTAACATAAATTAATTTTTCATTCATATACATACTGTTACAAAATGTATATATGTGGTAAAACACTATAAAGTTGAATGGAAAATATAGATACACAATTTTCCTTAAGTCCATTACATAGTGTAAAGGCAATCGCAAGATACTAAAAGTCCAGTCACAAAACACAATGCTTTTTATATTGCACAGTTGAAACGAAAACTAAAAATTTGCATTGTACTTGTAAAATTCTGGAAGGCAATCAGTGTATATATATATCACTTTATTTAGAAATACGATAAAATATAATTAAATCATAACATTATGTGAACCTTTGCCACTGGATTATCTTTGATTGCGTGACTGATGTTTGTGAGCAACAAGAAATCCAGCTCAATTGGTAATACTCTGAGAACCCGGTTCAGAGTTCAAACAGGCCTGGTCTCAATCATTTTGAATTCATGTGATTCCTTCTGTTTTTTGTTTGTTCGTGTTTTGATAACGATATATATAATTTGAACATCGGAAAAGTTAACTTCTGTTGTCTATAATCAATCTACTGTATATCAAATTTGTAAATTGACAAAGAAGTTGCAATGGCATTTTTAAAAGCAGTATAAGAAAGGGATAACAAGGATTTCTTCATATATATATAGACATGATGATGATGTGTTTTAAATGAATTCTTTATGCTTCAGAAATGTATACAAATATGCTTAAAAATTACAAATACACATTACTGATGGGAAATTTTACAATTTGTACATTTACATCTTTCAACAATGAAGTGTGAATGTCATAATACCTTGTATACATGTATGCTTTGACACTAAGTTTCGTTATTTATTGATTTACCTAATTTGGTGATGATTTATGAATATCATTATAAATCAATATAAAGTTGTCAATTACCACACAATACCTAAAGGAAATATCCAAAGTTGTCACTTTGTCATAACCAGATGTTTATTTTAATCTAAAGTTAAGGACATACACTCCAGGTATGGTCAATCTGTTTTGTTATGGGACAGGAATTAAAAACTGGTTTACTTTCTAAAAGAAATTATCATATTGATGTTTTAAACGTGGGATAATAGTCCCAGCTTTAGATAAGGAAACAACTGGTGTGTAAGTACAGTGATATTACATTGTAAATGATACTTGTGGCTTGATTTTTAGTCCAGACAACTAATTACAACAACTTAGAATATTTTAGGGAAGCATTTTCCACTCTAGAAACCACTAAAAGCTGCACATAACAAAATACTTTAATTAATTCTCATGCAACATGCAGCTAATTGTTTCTAAGGGCAGTTACAGTCAATTATAAAATGCAAGGAGAAAATTAAACAATAAAACACATGCTAAGTCTTAAACATGTTCATGTAAAAGTACTACAATATGATAAACCACATGTGGATTGTTGAAAAATAAATTCCATTTGATTATCCTCATTGATAGGGAACACTTAAATGAATTCCTACCAATCCATAATGTCCTTGGTAGGCTAGATGGGAAATTAATACCACAGTGGTACAATTAATGGAAAAATGTTAATGGTTTTATAATTGTTGTAGGTTACCACTGTTGATGGCTTGACAATTAACTTTCTACTGTTTGTACTAGGGTACCAAGAGTAATTTGTTTTCTACTGTTTGTACTAGGGTACCAAGAGTAATTTGTTTTGATAGTAGTCATTTTTAGGGATAAGAGTATTTTTATCACATTACATGATTAAACCTGGACATTCAGCATGTACTTGTTAAAGCAGCTTAGCTACAAAAAAGTTAGATATTATAATAGAAAGACAATTACCTTAATTTTAGTCTAACCAGTAAAATAATAACTGAATTGTTTTTTTGCCTCAGGATTTGATAAAAATTATCTGCAAGGCTTATTGTACTGCTTGTCTTTGTTTTTATTTACCCAGAGAAAAAAAACGTTGATTATATTAGCCTTAATGTTCAAATTATTTGTACTTTTAAAAATGACCAATGAAAAAGTAATACTAAAGTCTTTATTTTTATAAGAAGTCACTTATCAAGGATTAATATGTATATCTAATTCAAAATATTTTGAAAGTAGTAAAAATAGTGAAAATACACACAATGTCAAACTGACTTGTCCCTAGGCCAATTAAAGCCAAATCTTGGATGTTTAATGGTATTATTACTGGACTCAGGTGTGAGGTTGTTGGTCTATTAAGACATTTATAGGACATAATCATACTATTTTATGTCTGTAAATTGTATTATCTCTTACTTATGTCTTTATTTTCATTGTTGTCATACATATTGTGATGTTTATTGTCTGATAAAACTTTGACTTGGGGTCAGGACCAAAAGCCAGATTTCAAATGTGCAGTTGAGTTGTAGGTCTGTCCTTCAAAAACTTTAATGTTGAATGTAATAAAAAGATAATTTTGGCATTGAAAGGTCTCTTGTCCAGATCAGGCACTCAAGCCCAGAGATAGAATGCAACAAGATAAGTGGTTTCACATTTGGATATTATAAATTTACTACTAGACATCATTGGTCAAGATTTATTTTTCAACCATGTGTATAGAACACACAACACAAACTCTCAGATCTCATGGCAAATCTGGCATTTCTTGACAGACACATTCAAGGGAGTTGTGAATTAATAGGAAACAAATTACGGATAAAAGTTAAGTTTTTTTTCATTGAAAATGAGTTCATT